AATAGCCACGCAAACTACTGTCCAAGAGCATTCCTTGGGGGCTCTCTCGGATGGTAGTTCAGGATGGTGGATAATAGACGGACGACAAAGACAGCAGCAGCCATGTTTATTATGGTTTGGGAATAATGGTAGAAATGGTACATAAGATGGAAATCACGTGACAGAACGCACATCGGGACCGAGTGGCCGTTGTTCCCGATGTGGAGACCCGCTCTGTCACTTACACACATTCAGAAGTCGGACGGCGATTCTTCATCGTCGACGTAGTCGTTGGTGAGGCGACGGCCTTTGCCGACGCCCCGACTAGCCGCACAATCCGTCCGCTTCTGTTGATGATCTGGGTCGCCTCATCTCTGACTGGTCACCTGGTGGCTCTGACTGGTCTCCCTGGTGGTCTCGTCTCCGACTGGTCTCCCTGCTTGGTCTCCCTTAGTGACCATGTCAGTCAGGTTTTGTACATAGGGACATTACGCCAAGTTATGCAAGGTCACTGACCTATGCACATGTACATACGTAAGATCCGCTGACGTAGTGAGGTGTTGATTGGCATTTACTGATAACATTAAGAATCAAGGGTCCTGCCCGGAGGGGGGTTTATGATAAGAGGGCTACACCGAATGATTGCTGAATACATTAAACAGGCAAAGGGGATAGAATTTTGGTGCACTTTGGATCTATATTGAAACAATTATGTTGTTTGAATATATGAAGTTTTACAGAAACGTATTGAAATGATTTACTCTATGACACTACCAACAAGACACAATTCCCATTAAGTCTGCTTTGTAAAGAAGCACCCGTGAAGATCCGGGTCAGAATTGGTCTTCAGCAACCCACGCTTGTTGTAAGAAGCGACTAAAGGGATCGGGTGGTCAGGCTCGCTGACTTAGCTGACACATGTCATCGTATCCCAATTGCGTAGATCGATGCTCATGCTGTTGATCACTGGTTTGTCTGGTCCAGATTCGATTATTTACAGACCGCCGCCATATAGCTGGAATATTGCTGAGTGTGGCGTTAAACAACAAACCATGTTAGGTAACAAGAAGCCCGCACATTTCCAATGGAGACCGCTTCAAACTGAACGCGAGTGCACTTACTTTGTTTTGATCTGCACGATTGAGTGTGTTTAGTTACACTTAAAATGAACTTGCTTGGTTCGAATCATAGCGATGCAAATTTTATGACGACTATATTTTGTTTGTAGTGTGTGGAGCTAGTCTATTTGTGGAGGTGGTACGTATTCCACACCTTGGCTGGTCTCCTCTGTTTGTTTCCTTAGGGCTGAATATGGCCTGGCCTTTATCATTTGCATCCAGGATTAGTCGTTCCACTTCATTTTCATGAAACAGAAGTCTGACATGACAGTGTAAATGATTCCTTCACTTGTTCTGAGAATTCCGAAGCATCCACACTGACTCGTACATTACAGTGGTCATCTAACACTACCGTCTGTGGATGGGGGTGTCAGATGTTTTAGGCACAGAAACATTGTATATAGATAAACCAATATTTTAATGAGGTGTGGAGTGACTGTTAAGCTCTATGAGTAGTTTCACAGTTACTGATGATATCACCCTGTGATCACACACGCTGGGGTCGCGCCTGAATTGGCTTGCCACGGTGATTGAAGTAATTCGGGCGCTTCACTTAGTACCGCAGAGCGCACCAGTCACACGTTCAGTTACGTCTTTGTCTGATTACACCAATTGTTACTGAGGAAATGAGTTTAGTGTTGTACTTGTATTGTTGTACTTGTATTGTTGTACTTGCAACAATAACTAATATCATGACTTTGTTTATCACCATTGTATCAGTCCAACCTCACAACAAAATGAGGCTGAAGGTTAAGCAGTTATCACTCACAAGGCCCTCCATCCTTGGGACTCATGGTATTTTTTGTTATATTATTTATTAATTAGGTCTTCAGACGACAGTCTGGAAGACCTACTGTTTTTACCCGAATGTTTTTCTTATTATTATTTGTACGTTTTTTGTACCAGCTCTCCTGAACTAACCCCTGGGTCGATTTCGATGAAACTTTCAGGAATGATAGCCTGTAGGCTGAAATTGATACAATGTTGAAAAAATCCCGACTTCCGGTAAGGGCAGATAACCCAAAACGTCAAAATCTTTGAACCCCAATATCTCCAAAACTAGAAGTGTTAAGTTGACAAAATTTTCACTCGATGTAGACATCTTCATCCTTTATTGATTCAATGCATAAAATAAGTCGGGCAGCAGATGAAATTTTCCGCAATTTTGGAAAAACTGAATTTTTGCCGATTTTCGCGTTTTGACGGTGCCTGTGTTTAAAAATCTTCTTCTCCAGAACGGCAAATAGTACAGTCGTGTTCGATACGCCGTTAGAAAGCCCACACACTGGACTACAAAATTTGCACAAGGAATATCGATATCTTGAATGGTTTTGGAGTTATCGCCCTTGGAAGCCGGTGAATTTTTCTAAGAGGCATTTTCATAGGGTTAAAATAAATGTCACAACACAATGGATTTCATTTCCCAAAGTACCAATCTGTAGATAATTGAATGGGAAACATTTCTGCTTCAGATTGTTATTATGTAATAATCAATAATTACGTCACAATTACGACACAAACACAAACATTGCGATTTTTCACATTTCCGCACGTTTTGACGGTGCCTGTGTTTCATAATCTTCGCCTCCTGAACGGCAAATAGTAGAATCGTGTCTGATATATCGTTGAAAAAGGTTGCTAAAGCCATGTCGATATCTTCAATAAATTTGGAGTTATCGCCTTTGGAAGTTGGTCAATTTTGTCAAAACGCATTTACATAGGGTTCATATAAATGTCATAGCTCTGCGAAAAAACAACGGATTTCAGTTTTCAAGGTACCAAACTGTAGATACTTCAATGGGATACATTTTTGCTTCACATTATTGTTATGTAAAAGTCAATAATTACGTCACAATTACGACACGAACATTAGGATGTTTCGCATTTTGCTCTTTGGGCATTGGAAAACGAGGAAGCGGTGATTGTTGCTAGATTTTACTGACGCTTCTAGCTGATGAGCAAAATAGGTGAAAGAAGCGTCAGTAAAATCTAGCAACAATCACCACTTCATGGTTTTCCAATGCCCAAAGAGCAATGCGCTTGACTTTTTGACCACAACAAAGTCTCCAACATTTACCAGTTATCTCTCTTTTTGTACATGCCTGTATATTGCTGAATTCCTTTGCTTTGTTTGACTGTGCGTTCCTGTTTGTTAAAATCTAGCAAAAAACTCCACTTCCTGGTTTTCCAATGCCCAAGTTGATGTTGAGTTCGGTTTTACGTCACATCGGCGTAATTCCAGCCATATAGTGACGAGATCAAGTTGGAGTTTTACAAATTTTAAATACAAAGTCCAAAAAAGAGATTTTTACATATTTTACAAGTGAAAAATGACACAGCACCAAACTAAAAAACAAGCAATCTGTGACTCACATTACACAGTTATAATTTATGGTACAGGTCAACTTCCCTCAGGTAGCTAACAATCAGATGCCCGCTCACGAGGGAAAACAGATCTTTCAGGTTTATCGCTTCATAATGTGAATCTGTTATAGTCGAAAAGTTCACGCAGTCAAGCTGTATATGCTTGATGGTGAACGCTTTGAATATTGCAAGAGACACACATGGGAGGTCCATCCCCATCCGTTTTCAGCAGATAGTCATGAGTAAACCGACTGTTGCCAATACGACATCGTCGTAAAATTACCTCACCACGTCTTGACTGACAACCCAAGTATGTATAACCAATTGCTGGCTTTCCAATGCCCAAAGAGCAATGTGCTTTTGGTAAAAACTGGGACTCCAGCAGTTTGTTTACCAGTCTGACTGTGCAAGGATCGCGCGAACCCTTTCTGCTACATCATCATGATTGCAGGAATCCAGCACATAAAAACTCAATATCTTATACATTTAAAACAGAATAAAACTTCACACACAAACAGCAGTCGTACTTTCAAATCATCTTATCTGCACCACAGAATTTTTTGAATGGGTGTTTCACAAATGCACTATATACACACATAAATCTATGGCTGTTTCGCAAATGCAATATATGCACATAAGTCTATGCGTGAAATAGCTACAATCATGGCGATTCCAGAACACTAATCGTTTTGACCGTAGACCCAAGGACAACGGAGCTACGTCCTGTCAATGATGCAACAATTTCTTCTCCAGAACTTCTTAAAAGGTACATCACCCCCGCGACCCCGGCTCCATTTCACCGATCTGCTCTCGTGTCAAAAACGTGTTCTGCCTGCGGTTTGGTTGGTTTCTAGCCCTTAAATACACTTCAAACACCCGTAACTCCGTGCATTAAAATGGACGCTCCAGCTGCCGTCCAAAGAAACAGTACAAGTAAAGGTAGCCACGGGGAGTGTATGGGGAAGTCTGAAGACCGTCAGTATTGCCCAGGAGGCAATCCTAGTTGTATTTATATATATTCATATAGCGCTAATATCCAGATCACCTGCTCAAAGGCGCTTTGTTTTTCCCTCGATCATTGGATGTCAGTCTCAAACGGCACAATGTATTATCAATCTCAACCCCTGGGAATCATACAACTCTTGCAGCCCATCCTTACCAGGTGCCCATTCACAGCTGGGTGGACTGGGACACGTAGTCACAGTATTTTTGTCCAAGTTTACTGCACGTTGGTGTAGCCGCAACTAGGTGTTTGCACCTATTCATGTGGCTACCATCTGGTCATATACCAGCGGATTCATGGGTTCTTTTAAGTGCACGGGTTGTGTACTGTACACTAGGGGTTGTGACAACGCTAAGAGTCTGCAGGCAAAGTTGACTCCAAGGTTTTTACACCCAGTCACAGGTTGGCTCGATCGGTCACCTCTCGCTGGATCACTAGCCTGGCGCCTCAGCCAGCTCGATTTGAATGCTTAAACTAAAGGGTTCAATATATTGTGTTTCTTAAAAGGCAGGATAACCAAAAATACAATCAAGTAATGATGGCTGACGTGATATTTATTGCTACATACATGGTGGTATTTTCATAATACTTGACAGTCAATAAAATACCAAGATGTATGAGAAAACATAGATACTGTCATCAGTTGCATAAAAGTGACAGAAATGTTTTAGCAAGAGGGTAAAATAGAACTTTCTCTAACAGTGTATGTTACATGAAGACTATAATGATTACACTGTCATCCCTGCACACCTCACTACATGGGCTGTAATGATTCACACAGCAATTCATGAATTCAACCATATCACTTCATGTATTCAATTAGTTATTCATGATCATAGAAATGAATATTCATGAATTTTAAAAAAACGTTCAGTTTTCATTTGAATTCAGGAGTTCAACTCAAATGGATACTGTAAACATGGTCACTACATTCAAATAATTATTCTGCTGTTGTTTCAAAAAATAAATTGAATATTACATCAACTGCTCACTTGATATCATATTCGTTACCCAATATATGTGACATGTATCATATTCGCCTCATAGCGGATTCGTTGCAGCCCTAATAACTACTAAACCAAGTGCCTGTCCCTTATACCCACACAGGATGAAAATTACATTGTTCTTTCTTCACTTGATGAACTATGCTTTGCACATGGAAAACACTGCCAATCAAATGTGCTTAATTAAATCACATCCCTAAATAGTTCACGTAAACAGATAAAAGTTTTCTTTGTGAACATAAGATATAAAATGTCTCCTTCATACTTTGTGAAAATTGCATGAAAAGATAATAACCAATTAACTGTTGCCTAAATTAGCCAGTATGACAGACAATTAATACAATGGACATGAATAGCCTATTTTCAGCAAAAAGTCATTAAACAATGGACTCCTATTTACAGATGATATCTTTATTAACACAAATGAGCAACTTCTGCAGAAAGACAATAATTGTTGATGACATGCTGTTTCATAATGACAATGTTTACTAGACGTTGATGTCAATAACACTTCCACTTGACTGACTGACTGAGTATGGTTTTATGCTGTTTTTAGCAATAATCCAGCAATATCATGGCGGGGGACACCAGAAAAGGCTTCACAAATTGTACCCATATGGGGAATCGAACCCAGGTCTTTGGTGTGACGAGCAACACTCTAACCGCTACGCTACCCCCGCCTCACTTCCATCTGAGATACATTGATGATTAAATATTTTAATTAAAAGTTTGTATTCAAAGTATTTTTCAATTAAAATATTCTAGAAAGGCCCATTGACCTTCCAAACAAATCAGTGACATTTCTTGTTTAGACATTATATTCTCCTATTCAGATGCTGCATATATTAATACACAAAAATGTTATAATAAGTTTAGTTTGCAGGAAAAATATTTTTGTATGATTTAAGTTATTATCAAACAACAAAACCAGACATATTGTCACTGATAACAATGGCAGTGAGTGAACACATACATTCCAACATTGATTTTTTGACTATTTACAACAAAATTACATAAAATTTAATAGGAGTTTATGATGATGTTTCATACACAAAGTAATGAATCAAAATATTTCACATCCATGACATAAAACTACATATTTTTTTCCACTTTATATCTTTGTGTCTATATGTCAATGTCTATACTATGACACTGACATTTAACATAAAACACAAATCCCTCCATCTTGCATGTTGCAGCGACGCATCTAGTACTGTAAGAGTTCTGTCCCTTGCAGGAATTATTTGGTCCAGCTCACTTTGGGAATATCAAAATGTTCTGTCAATGTATCCAAGTGCTTATTTAATTTCTGAAACAAAAATCAGACACATAATAGGTTACTACATACATATAAACATATATGATCATTAACTTATCAACATATTTATTTTACACCAGGGTTGTCTAGCACAATGTGACATGAGTGTGCTCTTTTAGATCTTTTCAACAAATTCAGCTGATGGTTATACACAGCATTGTAACTTGTACTACAGATTCCCGAAAATATCAATACTTTCTCTTATAATTCAATTTTAGTCGTAGCAACTTGACACACATGTGAGAGCGAAAGACACAACCTCATTTCCATACTTTGTGGCAATTCCATAGAAACTGCAAACATTAATCAAACAATTGGCATCTAAGATTACATTGTATTTCAGACCAACAACAAATTTGGACTTGATGATTAAACAATACATATTGCTGATTACTTGGACCTGGGACACCACCCTCACATCCACTGGTATTATCTACAAGATCTTGCGACCTTGACCATGTTGACTGAAGTTTCATTATATTTTACTATATGTAGTCCTGGAACAGTATTGACACAAGTCACATATCCATCTGTGTATTATTTACAGAAATCAAAATAGGATTAAAGCGCTTACACATGGTGTTAACACCACCATTATCCTAACTTCTATGCTCTAACATATGACAACATAGTTCTATCTAGAAGATATTTTTCAAATGTGGTAATGATAAAGAATATTCTCCTATTAGAAGCGGATAAAATCACGATAATGTTCTTTTGCCATTAGTAACCAGACAAATCTCTGATGAATATGTAGGATAAAGACATCCGACCTAAGACCACTTGTGACACCCTCTACACAAGTTCATCATGGCCCACTAGCACAAAGCAATTTGTGATATTTAGGATGGCAGTCAGCCAATATCCTAGAAATTGAAATCATCTGAAACCTTTATTGTTTCTAGTTATATGTATATGTTTTTATCAATGACCACAGCTTCCTTAAATGTACTTCAGCTCAAATTACTGTTCCAGGTCACTGACTTCTAATCTGGAACTGATCATGTAATACACAGTGTTGTTATCTTCTTGTGATTTTTATTTTTGTCCAAGCAACTCAGAACTGAATGGGTAATATGTGTATGAAAAGATGCAAATCTGAACAAATTTTCAGCATATTTTTCTGTCTGCTTGTACATGACCACTAAATGATATAGAGAAAATCTCTAAATAGAGTTGAACAGCCCCTTCCCCCAACTTTCAGAGTATGTTTTGCATAGATAAAACATATACCAACATGTGGACTTGAATTAAAAGTTTCATTTCATCATATTAATTTATAATTACCAGTAAGCCTCCCTCTCTGCCTGCCTATAGCTATTGAACTTACTGTGATCAATTATCTGATATTGTGTGTCCATTTCCGTTGGCTGCTAATTTGAGTCAAATGCATAATTAACTCTAATTAACATAATTAACGAGCAATGTGTTATTCTGTCCTTGTTGTTCAGTCACAAGCTGAAAACATTTCTATTACAAATTAGACAAATTGTTTAATACTTCAGCTTACCATTATTTGTTCTTTATGACTGGTACTAGCCTTCTCTAGAATCTGTTCAGCTTGCTGTAAACAACCAAACACATGGCAACATATACAATGTTAATGAAGAGTTGAATAACATATTGATAAATGATTTCATATTTAGTTGTTATCTTACATGTCAGACATAGTTACATCAACAAAGTTCAATCATTCCCAAAAATTCACTCATGTTGAATACAAGCAGCAAAATTATGCATATTGTTACAGTCACAGATTTTTCTATACCTTCTCAGTGGCCAACATTTGGGCCACATCAGTAGCAAATATCGTTACAAATGCAGAGTGGAAATACACATTTTTGAATTTATGTTCATATATGTAATGTATCACAAATTTTATGCCTTTATAGAGATAACCTGTTCTACACTGGTACCAGGAACAAAAAACAACAACAGAGCTACTTGGAATACAATCTTCAAGTAAAATGTATAAACACTTCTTAACTGAAGAATAACTGAACTTCCATAACACACCAATTTAGAATAAAATAACAATCCCCACAACAAATTTATGCCAGAGGCAAATACTTTGTAATACTTGCTAAATCCCAGGATATTATTTAATGTACTGTTTCGTTAATCACATTCTAAATTCTATTCCTTAGATTAAAACAGTTTTAACTCCTATTGGGATTAAAGGTAAGAATATAGACCCCAGACAGCCTATGCTTGTCATAAATAGCAACTAAATGGATTGGATATGGTATAACATGGTTATTTGACTGAGTCCATGACATCATATTCTAGCTGAGTGATTGATACCATGATCATGATGATGTCAATCATGAGTATGTCTGGTTGAGACTTAATTATTTTCAGACCATCTTCATACACCTGGGATATTGTAGTGTGCTATTAAACTAAGCAAGCATGTTATAATGCTACATAGTATACTTAAAACACATGGAGATTGGTACATCTATAGTAAAGATTGATTTATTATCAAAAGATGAGAGTAGTTTGTTGAAACAATTACCCTTTTTTCTTTGACTTTTTCAAAAGCAAGCTCAGCTTTAGTTTTCTTGGCAACATACATCCGAGGTGTGCTGGTGGTTGGTGATGTTTGCCCTTTTCCCTCATTTTCTAAAGAAAGCTCCAAAAGTTGTTTTTCCTTGTCTTTGTCCTTGCTCTTCTTTTTCTTCTTTCTGAGCATGAAAATAAATATGACACCGTCATTGTCGATACACCTCTTCTACCTAAGAAGTTTTTAACAGCATAGAAAACACCATGTTTTATTGGGTTAACACTGATACATCTTGACACAATACATGTCTTGTCTAACAATGGTGTTATTAAGATCAGGTTCACCTACCAATACCATAGTCTGTTAACGATCGAAAACTGAACAAATATTACTAGTCAGCGGTAAAGGGATGCATATTGTGGTTGTTTGACATTTTACTAAGACCGTTGCACAAAGAAAACAATGAAACATATATTCCTTGATATTTTGTACACGCGTAAAGCTTACTTTTTGATGGAATGATCAGATACACCCTTGAGATTGAGGCCACCAGTTTGTACGCTGTCGTAAGCAGACATTTTGTTGACGATTCTGAGATAACGCGAGAAGAGGGAGGTTGAGTTTTCGATAGACATCTACTTCTCATTCTTTAACAGAATGACACAGTTATCTATAAACTCTTGGTATATATATAGTATTATAATATTTATTGATATAAGTTAATATTGATATGAATATTATGTGCGTATAGTTTACATAGCTATTTTGTATAATTGTGTATTTATAGATCAATGATTGCTCCCTCCAACTCGATAGTGATTGGACAGCATTCCTCTGTGCACTTGCGTCCCGTGCAACCTGGACATAAACACTGACCTGTCACTCTTTCAGGTTCCGCATTTGGTATTAACTTTGATAGACTAACGGGACTTACATCTTTCAGTCATGCCGAGACGAGCACTCAGATGTGTTGTTGATCTTAACATAAATACGGTAAGCTACGTTCTAGGATATGTTTGCGTGCACCGTTGCTAACTTGCAGCCAAGAGCAGTCATTTTGACTTCTATTTGGGCCTTGTTGCAAGTCGTGTCATGTCGTTTTCATCCCGCTTTGACTTTTAATCCCACAAAGTTTAAAATTAAGTCACTATTCCATCCTGTTATTTTACATGGTTTGCTTAGTGACGAGACTAAACATTGCATGCACTATATTGGTCCATTATATTGAAGAAATCAATATATAGCACTCACAAATCGGATATTGGTAATTGTGAGAAGATCCCGGCAATATCCAGGATTTACATGATAATCGAGTGAACTGTGCTAGTATTTCAGATAGGATCAGAAAGTGAAAGCCAGTAATTTCAACAACCTAAATTGCATGCTAGGCATGATATAACGGAAATCGTGTTCATTGCAACAAGAATATCCTTCTCATTCACTATAAACAATCAACTGCTTATGAATTTCTGATAATGATTTCCACAAACAAATGGCTTGTTTGATAGGCATGTTTGTCTTTCAGTCAAATCAACATTATGTTAGATATCTAAGTTTACCTTCACTAACGTGTAGATTCAATGAGAAAAGGACCACATGCTGTATGATAGTTGTTACTTGTTATGCATGTAAGGCAGATAAAAACAACAACAACAGTTGGATCTGTGGCCATTTCCAAGTTTGGATGGTAGCAACAGGATTTAGCCAGCAAAATATTGGAGACTAACAGTAATTGGAAACAGACACAAATAATGTTAACACTGTGTCTGAAGGTTCACAAAAGATAAGGATCATGGATACTCCATATACACGTATAATGAAACTAATTCAGTTGTATCATGCACATCAGATTTTACTGATATTTCTACACATAAGAAATATGATCAAGACTTGCAGGGATGGACATTAACCAAAAACTTCTAGTAGCCCAAACATGGTAGCATTCATCATGACCCTGTAATATGTTGTAAATTCTTCTGGCACTAGGAATACCTGTAACATGAACAAACCTCATCTTGGCTAGTGCCTATTTCTATCCCTGAGCTTGGACAGTCCAGATTTGTCAGATTTTCTTCATTCAGACACAAATTTGCAATTCATGTAAGGAAACTTCTGTCTAAGATAAACATAGGACATGACAATTACTTCATATTGTATTGCTACTGATGTCACCCCGGGACCTGCATTTTCATGTAAAGGATCCTCAAATGTTGTTACTGAGAGTCTTAAGACTTACAAATAGATGGATAGGTAGAAAGGGTATTTATTATCTATGTTTTTGTCGCAAATAAGATGAATTAATTCAGGGATCTTTCAGCATAGTGAGACAGCATGGGCACCATGAATGTTTGTGTTACATTTAACATTTTCTAACTGATTTATCATTGTTTTGTATTAGGTCTCAGCACCAGGGGTATGGCTGCCCAGCAAAGAAGATATCTACTTAAGTGTTTCTGTTTTCAACCAGTACAGAAATACACGCCTGGTGACTTCACTCTTTCCTTTACTGTTAAATGAGACGTTCAGGTTTGAAAAGGTAAGAGTACAGTTTTTACTTTTAGCTCACCCGACTCAAGCCTGATCTTATGTCATGGCCTCTTTGGGTTGCATCTTTCGTGAGACACCGTCTTCTCAGATACTGCATGAATCTAAAACATCACATATATTTTCCCCGATCTTTATGGCTATGACTCCACCATTTGTTGGTAGAAAAGTATATAAGTTTGATGTGTAGTGGATATGTGTAGTTATTAGTAGGGCTACATTAGTACATATCTTTTTCAATTTCTTGCAATAGGTTTAGATTTTGCCCTTGATTTGACATTTGCACTTAACAGTCCTGAATAATGAACTTCTTATGGCCATTTCCTTGCCATTTCATATATAAATGTTATGAAATTTGGTGTATTGAGCAAAGGGTCTCAACACATGTTCCATTTAACATGTTTAAGGGACTTTTGAATCTTCTACCTCTATTTGACTTATGAAGGTGACACGTCACATTCTTGTTCGCATCAAGGAAAGCACCTGAATTTGTTGAAAACGTTTAAGTCCAGTTTTCAATATGGCTGCCACAGTGTATTCATTCAGCCTTGAAGATGAAACCATTGGGGTGTTTTAAATACACAATACCTCTTCCTTTAAAAAACATGTGTAATGCAGACCAACTGCCATCATTCAGAGGCAGAGAAGTGATATAGAGAAATTGAGGATAAATTGTGGATTGTTTCTCTAAAACCATATGTGTCTTTTTGACATATGGATCACCATGCAAGACGTACAGTGTGCTGACCAGCTGCAATATAGTGTAGAACTGTTAACAGCAAGCTACTGGCTCAGTGTTATTTGACTTCTGACTTTGACACACCTGATTAGATAACATTGTAACATGGTCAGTGTGCCATGGTAGGCATGTGTTGGTATTCAAACTTCTTTTGTTTAACAACTCGGTAATGTGACTGAAATTTATAAATGGTCAACATGAATGTGGTCGTTAGTTGTTGTCCAGTGTTGCTATGGACACTATGTGTGTCATTTTAGCTATGGACTGCATTCCACCATAAACACTTTGTATAAAGATTAGAGTGTAAACAATGCTATTAAATTATCAAAAAAACCCTTTTGAAAATGACTTAAGACCACATTGAAAAAAAAAAAAAATTGCTTTTTCGGAGACCCCCCTTTTCAAAATTCCTGGATCCGCCCATGCATAACATCACGTACTCATTCGCGCGAATGTAGATCATAGATGACATAACAACATCACTGTGGTGAGAGGGGGGCAAATGGTTATGACATATTCATGTTTGGAGATGACTGACTTGTCGTCATTCCCTGATTCCAGATACATTATGGCATCAAGTCTGTGCCAAGCGTACCAGTGGTTGGAAGCATAACAGTTCTCATCCCATTTTGACCACTTGACCCCCATTTATGACTGCTTGTATGACAAACATATAACACTATAGATTCTAAGGCTGGCACAAAACCAAATGTTCTACTCAGGTACTTGAACCTGACTCTACGTAGGTACCCACTGTTGGTTTTGAGGTTTGGGTACAAAACATCTTAATTGAGAATTGTTTAACCGGAAGCATGGAAAAAGCAATTTAGATGGACAAACTGAAGTTGATTGCAGATTTATCTTTATTTACACACATAAATGTCAGAAGGAATGGGTACATAGTTGGAAGGTAGTGCGAACATTTGGGTTACCATGGAGTTATAGTGAATGTTTGTCAACATATGATATATGGCTTGTGAATTTGTTTGCAGACATACTACACAGCTGTTGACCCGGTCATGTTGCCGAACTCCTTGAAGGTGAGCATGTCATGGCTATAGAGCATTATGTAGCAAGATTCATACGCCCAGAGAAATTCTTCCATTGGAATAATATACTTAGGTTATTGCTAATCTCTGAAAGTGAAAACAGTCCATTTGACATCAGGCATGGGGAATTGTACATCTTATATTTCTTATCATTTGCAAAAATCAACCTACAAATTTACAATATACCTAAAAATGTTATCAAATTATAATCCCAGTAACACAAAACCATTTCAGTTTAGCCCTACAAACTTTAATTGTTCCAGAGCTCCAGATAAGATTTAGCTCATGTGGGTCCTGTACCCACTGTATTTTTTTGGAGTGGGTATTATGAATGTTGAGTTGGTATTTCATTTTCCGTTACCCATTGCTTTCAAATATGTGCGTATTTCAGTCATTTTACTCACCTAAGTATTATGTCATTGAGTAAGTTTACTAAGCAGGTGTGTTCTGCCTTATCTCATACCTAATCAAAACCAACTTAAATATAATGGAAATGATTTCATAAAAAATCACTCATCCTATACTGACAGTTCAACACTTGTCCAATACTAAAGTACTGTCGGAAATAGAAAGAAAACTGCTTTTAGGCTGTTACTTTGTATCCCTAAAATTTATACAACTGCAAATAGCATATGTCGAAATAATCCACTTCGGCCTAACTTGGCATTCAGTGGGATGCGTAATAGGATATCCAGAAAAGCATGTTTACTCATAAAATCGGGCAAACTTAGAAAAAATATGAATAGCTGCTGAAAACAATAGATCAGACTATAGATGGCAATTAGGTCGCTCAGCCAGGTAAGACGACGGACTGTCGACTCAACTGGCATGAAATGCATGTGCTGCCTACAGGTACAATGGGGCATCTCAAAGATATTTTGTGCTTTTTCATGTGTGCTGACTATGTCTCATCTATTGATTAACATCTTACGTGTCTTTCTTTCATAAAGTTTATGTATAGATATGTAAAAGAGTATGATACCTGATAATCATAGAAACGCATTGTATTACATGTCTCAAAATATATTGGTGGCATGACCACCCAATCGCTTAGATCGACAGGACTGGATATTATTTGTAAATTGTTATGACATGCCGTGTACTTCCCCAGTATAACTGCCCTAAAAGATTATCTTATCGTAGCTGATATCTCTATCCCCCAGCCCGACCCCAACTATCGTCTGCAACACCCCTCCAGGTTTTGCTTTTGAGACGAACCCTCTTATCTGTTTCTTTTTATAGTGACAGTGAGACTCCATGGTAGCTACATCCTTAATAGTTTCAGCATGAAAGTTTTGTTGTTTTTTTACACCAGCTATCGTTCATAATGAAGCTACGTCTAATTTCAAATTGGGCATTTAAAAAGTGTCCTTTGTAATACAATATCGTCGCACACTAATTTGCATAAAGCCATGGTCTGTTCCAAATAAATCGTTTTGGACCGCATTGCTCATTTCTGCACTAATCTCTCTTCAGTAAAGTCCTTTTTCTTCGTTTCCTATGTCCCTACCACTGAGACTGTAGTTAGGCCAAACTTAGTTTAACAGATGTTTCACACTTGCACATATCAACTACAAAAATTGTAGAGATAAATTAGAAGATACAGTTTTTTTCTATTTCCGACAGTACTTTAATAGTACAACTTGATAGCAACCAATGTCTTTTTCATTACGCAAGCGATTTTTATAAATATATTCCTTACACATTTGTTTCAAACATTTTAAATGCGTAGTTGGTATGCAACAATTATTTTTCAATGCGTAATTGGAAATTTTCTATGCGTATTTTACCCAGATACCCAGCTTATCTGGTCCTCTGTTGTTCTATTTTGATGATTTCTGAATTGGAAACATCAATATTTTTTAGTCAGTTTCATTAAATAATGTAAATTCTGTTAGCTTCATAAAACAATTTCTGTAAAACAATTCTTGTTTATATTATAAAAAAAATAATATAGTACATTGCAAATCACCTAATTGTTATCAGCATTCTAGAAGTTGGTGAGTCAATAATTTAGCATACAAGTTTATGGATAGTATGCTCTATTAGCTTGATAAAACTCTTAATGAAACGTTGCTTTATGCCATAAAAAGAAGTTATCCATAAAGTCGTATGCTTTATTATTGCAAATCACCAGTTGCTTATTTCTATCATCTGCCTGTATGTGAACATTGATGTATGTGGTTTCTGTGATCTATGTTTAACATGAAGTCTTGTTATAGATGAACTGATCATCTTTGAGCTCTTGCAACTGTCGGAGTACACCGATGGCGCTGTCCGTCTTGCCACGTTCTCCACCAATGCCAGGGACTTCCTCTACCCCTATCCTTCCCTCGCCCCCATCTACTCCTCTGCGGACAGGGAGATCCTCATGAGTAGGACAATTGCCTTCCCGGTTAGTAAAGAGGTTTCTCAGACTTATCTCTTTCAGGCTTACACCAACAGATCCTTCCTTTACTTAATCATTTGTTTCATAAATCTGTGAACACTATTTCTCATTTACCATGTTTTGGAGATACACCTAGGTATTTTTAATTTTGAGGTGTGTTGATGATTCAAGACCAAAGTTTACTTTGAAAATGAATGAGATAATTTAGATGTTGCAAATTAATGATGATGTTTATCACAGTTCAAAATACAGTAGGTTGAATATCTTAAGGGCTACTGATCCATAGCAATTCCCTAGGACTGGCTGTTGCTTTTGTTATTGTTTTTCACCTGCGAGTACCCAGATGATATCCCAGAATTCTTGACCAGGTTGCAATCTCTGCTGCATCTACTGCAAGCACAATAATGTATTGGTAGTACAGTCAAATCCCGATGAGTCGAATCGCTGGGGACCAAGTAATAAATTCGACTTATCCATGTATTCGAGACATAGGTATGTCTATGAGGGTAGAAAAAAAGATGATCCAGTCCTAATTCCTCTGCCTAAGCATTTGTTTATCTAATGATTACCATATCACTAATAGGGGCACCTTATCAGTTCCAGTCTGATTAGCACAGACAGTGATTTCCGTAAAATCACTAATCTGACTTTTGAACTCACCCGTCAATGGCGGAAAGGTGTGAGCCGCGCTGGTTTGTTAATTGGATCAGGTTGCTACACCAATCAACTTCTCATTGACTGACTTCTGCTTATGTATACAAGATTGCTGTTGTTTGAATCTCATGGGGCCAAATTTCCTTTTCGAGTCATAGTGTGTATTTATGAGATGAATTCGTGTAACCTGTATTCAAATGATGACAACTATAACAGGGAATGGTCGGGACCGACAGGTACTTCGAGTTATGCATAATATTTGAGACACCGGCATTCGACTCATCGGGATTTGACTGGTATATGTATAATATGTATATGCTTACATTGATCAACAAAGTTTAAGTCTTTTTTTACTCATTAATATATCCATCTTTATTATTATGATAACAAATGAAACCATTTTGAAGTTTATCTTCATCTGCCAGTGGTAAAATACAGTCGAGCACCGTTGTCTAGATATTCATGGGACCAAGAAAAAATATTGAATCGTCCGAACTTCGAGACATCTAACCATGGCATATCATCACATATCACTATGAAAGAAAACAAAACGCTTCTCAGTATGTTTTGATTTGAAACTATAATCAGTTATCAGTAGTGTTTAGTTGTAACAGTGAGTACTTCCTAATTAATTCCTTCTTAAGTAATCCTAATTAAATAACAAACAAGTGACACCTTCAACTCAAGGGATACTTGCCCATGAAAGGTAGGTGAATATCGACTTTCTTTGCAAATATCGAGTTAATAGGGTAATTTTGCTTGTTGGGACCATGAAATTTTATCAAGATATCCAAAATATTGAGATATCTGTATCGAGTTTAAAGAGCTTCAACAATGGTAAATTATGAAGGATTTTGCCGGGACCAAGATGTTACATCGAGACAACCGAGATATAGAGTTATCAGAGTTCAACACAACGGTGCTCGACTGTATGTTAGGACTAAAAAAACCCAAAGTTAATGTACGTCTTAATATTTTTGTTTTATAATCCTAATTTCTTTATTATATATTTTCATGCATTTCGGAAGTTCATAAAAAGTACATGATCTGTTTTTACTTTAGTGACTTTATAACATCTCTCATTTTATAGATTGCCCAAGTGAATCTTCTTGTGTATGTTGTCTGTCTCATCGAGCTTCTCGGCGAAAAACAATGAAGTGGAATGATTCTGTTGGATGCTACAAGAAGTGACTAAAAAGAAAATACAAATATTAAAATCAAAACTGACTAAAGGTAGAGCAATACTACAGAGCTGCCAACCTAAAATGTTTCCAACAAGTGAGATTTTTCAAAAAGCCAGGGTCCATGTCCAGGCTGATATCCTGGCAGGTGGTCTTAAGCGGGTGGAGCCCCCAGCCAGAAATAGATTTAGCACTTTCTAAGCACAATGGGAGCATGGAGATAAACGATTCACATAAGAGGGATACTTTAATGCGTGAGATTTCAGTGTGTGGTTGTGAGAACGTGATTTTGTATGAAAATGCATGATTCTCACACCAAGTGCGTGACACCTGGTGGCAGGTATGATAATATCAGGCTATTACCTTGTTTGAGGAATGTATCCATCAATATCCGCATAAAGAAACCATATGCCATTTATCTGCATCTGACAAAGAAACCTGTTCCATGTCATGTGTCTTTGAACAGTCCAATACGCAAAAATTGTATAAATTGTTCTAACTAGTGATGAACAGGAACGGGTTTTTTATGGATAGACAACTTCTTTATTGCAATCGATGTAACGTTTCGGTGTAGATGCTAATGTAGATGCTAATCTACACCAAAACGTCACATCGATTGCAATAAAGAAGTTGTTATGCTGTACTGAAATGTTGCATTGATTGCAATAAAGAAGTTGTGTATCCATTAAAACTCATTCCTGTTTATCATACCAGCTTCCAAATGCCACTCAAGAAAGTAATAACTTGTGATAGTTTCTCAACTGGTCACATGCCTGTTTAAGGTTTTTCTCATTGGTGTATAGTCTCAGTGGCCACCCAAGATATCACACCTGACAACTATTTGCATGATGTCCACCATTCTTGTGAAAGTAATTTAATTTGACAACAATGAGCAATTAGTCAACGTATTGGCAGTTAATCCTTTGAAGGAAGGACTTTGTTTTGACACAGGCACTTTACTTACAGGGTGTATTCAGTATACGTTAGTAAATCTACATATATAAACACTATCTTTTGACAAATCCATTGTGCAAGATAAAAGTAATTAATCAATCAGCATCTTAAGGTTAATCCTTTGATAAACATTTGTTTTTAACTCAGCTGATAATTTGTCTTGCTGCAATTTATATGCATATTGCATAACATGTAATACATTTGCCACATCAGCCTTAATTTATGATGTTGAGTATTTACCCCTAAATATAGGGGTTAACGCTGTTTTGAGGATACAAATGTAATTTCTCATCACACTGAAGACCTGGTTTCAATTCCCCACATGGGTACAATGTGTGAAGCCCATTTCTGGTGTCATCTGCCATGATATTGCTGGAATATTGCTAAAAGCAGCGTAAAACCCATTTCACTCACTTATTCACTATTGTAATGTTTATTTGCTTATTATCAGTGTCTGGGCTGCTGCAGAGGTTGTAACTATAACTAGGCAATAACAGATGTTCACCATGAACTGGGAAGATCTGTATTTCCAATATGGTAATTTTTTCTGGTATTTGCTTCAGCCAAATACCAGGACCTGAGCTGGCCTAGATAAGCCTGCTGTGTGGTAGATTGTAGTTTGATCATGTGGACTGTAGTTTGATCATGATGATGAGACTTAATTTGATCATGATGATGTAGACTTAGTTTGATCATGATGATTTGGACTGTATTTTGATCATGATGTAGACTCTACTTTGATCATGATGATGCGGACTGTAGTTTGATCAAGATGATGTATGTTTAGAATTGCAATAGCAATGATGTATGTTTGTTCCAGGGTATCTCCCCCAAGCTAGAGTTCTCCACTCGAAGTGTAATCAGGGAATCTCTCTCTCCAGAAGTAGATGCCTTAGAAGATGCCTTAGAGGATGAACGGGTATGTTGTAGGGTACATGGATGTACATCTAGCTTGGCAGGTCTGTCAGGGTACTTGTATGCGTACCAGCCCCTTGGGGATTAGGTTGCTGAATAGCCCACCAGTATTCCATGTGTGTAAGTGACTCATATTGTTACACAGTGCAGTGTTTGAAATTTAGACATATGGTCAGGGGTCCTTACAGGTTTGTGAAATCCTAAATGTAGATACTAATGTGCCATCTTGCCAGGACTCCTTGACCCTCTATTTTCTAAGTCTGAATCTGTGACATGACAGGTGTTGTGTCGCCATGCTCCGGGGTGTTAGAGTTAGGTTTTCAGAGAATACTACTGATTTCATTGTCAACGACTTCACCGTTGAAAGACAAGTGTAATGGAGCCGAAATGTTGTGAAACATTGTTCACATTTAGACAATGGTTTGGTCTTTTTGGGGCCTTAAAAACTTACCTATTGTAACATATGTAGATGCTTACTAAACATAATATTATTAATATTACTAGTTGTAGGTTAGCAGTACATACTAAGGGGGATCACTCTCATCTGACTTCCTGTTCAAGTGAAGAGATCAATTTCATTTCAAACATGGATACAATTGCCATTTTGAAGAAATGTTTTTACTCAGCTACTCAGTGGCTATATATGTTGTACAAGAGTATTTAATGAAGAGTTTTTCAAGCCTGCTTGTTGTGATTTAACTGAAATAGTGTTTAAATGGTCATGCATACTCCCTAACTCTGTTGTAAGAGAAAATTTGTTGACAGATGATATCATGATATTATTTTGTTCATCTTCAGCTGAGACGACGAAGGAAAGCAAGGAGAACACCATCAGCAAGACGGTAAGTTCTTGGTTGTCTCCCTTACATTGTTGTGTTGTTTGCTGTACAGATGACCTCGTAGACAGATGCTGTTTGCTTCACAGTGTGAACTGGTGGCTGCTAACTTCACCTAACATCAGTTGTTTATGTCTGAGTTGCCTCCCTTGTTGTGTTGTTTGCTGTACAGATGACCTTGTAGACAGATGCTGTTTGGTTCACAGTGTGAACTGGTGGCTGCTAACTTCACCTAACATCAGTTGTTTATGTCAGAGTTGTCTCCCCTACATAACAAGGATAGTGACATTATTGACCACCTGTTGAGTTGTAGGCACACAATACATAGGGTTAAGATGCATTTGCTAGTTCTAGCAGAGGACATTAATGCGAATTAACAGCTTTGTTTTTGAGGTGGAGTGAGGAGATGGACGAGCAGGCCATTAGAAGGTTGAAGTGATGTTGGTATTGTTGCTAACCATTAACATTAACTATAGTATAAAATACTTTTTTCTCAGAAGAACAAACTAGTCTAGTTTTAACAATTTTTCTTGCCATGTTTCAACTTTATAAAGTGATGTAACTTCATCATGTTTTTTTTGTAAAGGAACAAATTGATACAACTGAATTCATTTTGTATTTATATATTTGACTACAACTATATATTATTTATGGAATGATATATATTGGTCTGCACAATTTCTGTATTGAAAGGAACAAACTTACCTCCATCGTTAACCCCTCTCAACCCCTCTCTACATCTCTCTAGGTGCAGATCCCCGACAGGAATATACTACCGAGTCAACAGCGACTACCAGCTGCCAACATCAGCTTTTCTTTCTCGTTCCAGATCATCCTCCCCAAGTCTCAGGGCCAAATATGAAGATAACAGTCTGGAAAGTACTATTGATGGACGACCTCCTTTTGTTGTCAGGAAAGTAAGTTATGGAAGGATTAAGAAAATCGGTTAATGGATGGCATCATCTGGTTGCAGGTTTAATGTCACTTGTTTAATGTATGAAAGCTTGAGGTTAGTTCTTTGGAAAATAGTATGTGGGATGAGTGATGTCACTTACTATATCCCAGCATCCTTTGTGATGCTGATGTTGATATGATACAACATGTATTGTCAACTGTGGTTACACAGGTTGATTTTGCTGATGGGAACACAGGGCAATATTTAACCATAATGGCAGTATGATTGTGTATGGTAACTTTCTTATATTTGCACATTTGGCCTGTACTGGTGTGTGACTCAATGAATGTGGAGTGGACGGGCTTGACCAGATGTTGCTGTTTACAGGCACCCTTGATGTAGCTGGAATATTTCAGTTAGAAACAACATTCACTGTCATTCTGGATGGTATTACATATTTGTTATTTGTTGATGTCTTTCAGCTCACAGAAGATTTGATAGGACGAAACCCAGGAGGTCCTACCGCCAAAAATGCCAAATCAAAGAAGAAGAGCAGCTTGTTGAGTCGGTCACCAAGTACCACCAGTCTCAGTATGTAATGCTTGACTTTTAAATGAACTTAAAGTTTTAATGACTGGTAGGGATTAAGAGCAGGATTGAGTGGTGGCAGTGTGTGATCGTATGTCTTGGTATCTGATCCAGGTGATCGTCCTTGATTTGTCTGGTTGAACTTGATTAAAGCCGCTGGCTGTAAATTTGCTCCTTCATTGTATATCTACTTTAGCTCACTCTCTCATTACATTTGTAATCTGTTGTTGGATGAGGTAGAGTCATGGGACTTGTGTATTGTGTAGTTTGTGATATTTCTTGTTTGAGTGGCATTTTAGAAGTTTGGATGTACAATGTTGAACAAAGTTTATGGATAACAACTTCTTTATTTCGTGAGTCCGACGTTTCGATACAGATTCTTGTACCATTGTCAAGTTGTCATTCCTGATTGACAATGGTACAAGAATCTGTATCGAAATGTTACACTCACAAAATAAAGAAGTTGTTATGCTTAAAGTTTGTTCAATATTGTGATATTTCTGTTGATGTCCTTGTTGTTATATTACTCCACAGTAATTTCAGCCGATTTCTAATCATCTCACATTAATGCAATTGTATTTCAATATTACCCCGACAAGTAGCAATAGTATTGTGATATTTTAAATCCAGGTTGAAGAATTGATTATCATAGTTATCAAAGTAGTCATTTTTGTCCCTGTCAAACTAAAAGGAAGTAACACTGAGCTTAAGTTGTAATAATCCTTGCTAATCAACACATCAAGTTTGGAATTTGACTGTACACACTTAGGTTTCTGAGGGCGGTGGGGTAGTCTAGTGGTTAAAGCGTTGGCTCGTCACGCCGAAGACCCGGGTTCGAATCCCCACATGGGTACAATGAGTGAAGCCCATTTCTGGTGTCCCCCGCCGTGATATTGCTGGAATATTGCTAAAAGCGGCGTAAAACCAAACTCAGTCAGTCAGTCAGATTTAGGTTTCTGACACATAGTTGATGTTTTATTTATAATTATGACTATTGAAGCTGTTCAATGTTGTATGTATATTCCTAAGTAAGTAGTACAATTGTTGGAGACACACTTGTTATGCATAGATATATATCTCCCAATGCATGGACATCAGCAGAGATGTTCTCTTACTGAGGAATAGTGTGTAGATCGATGCTCATGATATCAAACATTGGATTCTCTAGCCCCGACATGATTATTTACAAATCTCGGTCACATCACTGGAATATTGCTCAATGCGGCATTAAAGAGCACCCAAAAAATGTTAGATTATCAAGATCTTCTAAGTGGGCGTCAGCTAAGACTTGATCACATATTCCATCAGGTCTTCGTCACCTTCAGTGCCCAACGTGTCTTGATGTATATAGCGAGGCCAACTGTCTCGTCTGTCGTGCCTACCGCAGACACATGGGGCGGCCATACTGGGGCCACACCCACTTTCACCACCCCACAGGACACATACATAATTACAAATGGAGAGAGGTATTATCTACTTGTAGCACTGCTTGGTGGTCAGTGTAGCTCACTGTCAGCTCTCTGTTTATGTAGCAATGGCTGAATATTGGCTTTGTTAGAGCATGGGGCTGCCGTCATGTTCTGTCATGGTCATGTTTGCTTGGCATGGTATTTTTCACTTGTTTTATTGACACAGCATGGGTTAATAAATATGTTTGAAAAGCATGATAAGCAAACTCTGCAGTTGTTTCTCAAGTCCTGTTTAGGAATGACCATGAAAAGCATGTATATTTCAGTGTCTCTGTTTCCTGCATGTGATTAATATTTCAAAAATCCTATCATGAATCTTTAGATTGTATTCTTTATGCAATACTAATAATGTCTTATTAATGTGTCAAATAAATATGACAAACTCTTATTTGAGCCATGCAAAGAAATATAGTGAAAACATATATTTTAAGTTTTAAGTACTGAGCAAAATATGGTGTAAAGAATGAAAATTGTACACAGTCTAATTTCATTATGATCTTGATCTTGATCGTTACATGTTTCACATCGTATCCAAACTGCTTGTATTTTTACACTTAGGTAGGAGGTGATGGGGTAGCCTTGTGGTTAAAGCTTTTGCTCATCATGCCTAAGACGCGGGTTCAATTCTCCACATGGGTACAATGTGTGAAGCCCATTTCTGCTGTTCATGCCATGATATTGCTGGAAAATTGCTAAAAGCAGCATAAAACTCACTCACTCACTTACTACAATTATGTAGATAAAACAAAAGAAAAGGACAGCACCAAAATAACAAACATGATCTGACTTTACCCTGAATTTGCTCTCTATGTTAGTCCCACGAACTAAGTGTTGAACAAGATGGGATTAGGAAATTGTTTCACCAAAGGAGCCAGTCTCCAGCATGGTTGTTTTACCCAATGTGTGATCACATTTTCCTGCTTGCTATCCATGCATGTTGGTATTGGGCATGTTTTGTGTTCTAGGTATTTACAGTGATCTTGACTACCCTCTGAAGCATGAATATCGGCTGAGAAAGGTAATATATGTCCGGCTGATTCTTTGGCAGTGCATTACCATTCTGAAGATTGTCTTGTTCAGCATTTTGTGAAAAGCTAGAATTAATGAACTTGAACAGTACATGCTGGTGGCCATGAATATGGATTGTTTGAAAGTTTGAAGTAATTGAAGTATTTTTGTCCTTATTTGGACAGCTTGGACAAGAAGAATCAATTTGTATTTTTGAATTAGTGAATAGTTTGTGCTGGTGGCCATAAATCTAGAACGTCATGGTGAAAGTTTGAAAAAACTGAAATATATTATCAATATTTGGACATCTGGTACAATTACAAGCAGCTTCTATGTTTAAAAAAACATATTTTGTGTTTTTGTATTCAAACACCAGGAGCTAAATGCCACAAGGAGTTAATAAATAAAAAGGAACAAAATTTTCTCAAACCATTACTGTAAAATTTGTACACTCATTGCACTTTAAAAACAGTATTACCATATATTTTCCAACTGAATCAACAGATCATGCTAATTTGATGCCAAGTGAAATAGAAATTATTGAGCTACTATTTTTTATATTTCTAACAAGACAAGCTTTTTGTCCAAAAATATGTACATGTGTGGTCTCAGTATCCAAAGGAAAGTGAATTTCAAATCACACTGCTTGCTTTCATAGTATGTTGTATTATGTCTGCTTGCAAAATGTTGCTTTTTGTTGATCATTGTAGTTGTGGTGTGTTGATTCAATATGTCTCGTTACAGTGGGTATGTCTATGTACATGTATTTTCAAGTTGAGTTGAATTGAAATTCATTTGTGACTAAACAATTGCGTACTGCCATACATCATATACTTGTATACAGATTTATTTTGTTGTAGACAAGACTAGCACAAACATTAGAGAATATTTGACAAGTCTGTTATCATGATCGTGAAATCCATGCTCTTGGCATTGTGTGACTTAGTTGCACCAGGATCTGCTGATCATGATTTTCTGACTATGATCCTTGGTTGGGCAGCATGTTACCTGGTCAGTTTCACATGTTGTCTCCTTGGGAACTGTGGATTAGAATTTGACCCCAACAACCAACACTGGTTGTAAGTGGCCACCAATATACTCCCCATCAAAAGTTTAGACTCACTAGTGTAAATGTAGCCACTTACTTCAGTCAACTGTTCTGAACTAGATTTTGTAAAATAATCCATACAGTTTAAAGGTACTGTTTATACATGAGCTGATGTATTGTAAAACAAATTCGTGACGTTGAAAAGTTTATTGTCATGTGTTCAATAAATGCTGAAACTCGGTGAAAAATGGCGATTTTTTTTTCAAAACTTTACACCCAAACGCAGCTGTTCACATGCACGATATTTGCACATGCTTTCTGCAATTTGATGCATGATCATTGTGCAATTAATCTGCATAAGGTTTGCAGATGTTTCCCCCAAGTTAGTGGAGAAATTCTTCGTTGTAACCATATGTACATACATAACTTAAAGTGATTGATTTAAGCGAGTCTAAACTTTTGATGGGTAGTATAGATTGTGTGGTCAAGCATGGTGACTTGGTTTATTTTACAGGGGCGGTGGGGTAGCCTATTGGTTAAAGCGTTGGCTCGTCATGCCGAAGACCCGGGTTCGAATCCCCACATGGGTACAATGTGTGAAGCCCATTTCTGGTGTCCCCCGCTGTGATGTTGCTGGAATATTGCTAAAAGCAGCGTAAAACCAAACTCAGTCAGTCAGTTTATTTACATGCCATTGTGTCATGACTGTATGGATCACAATATTAGTTACTGGATTGTGTGGTCCATTATGGTGTTAAACAGACAAACAATCCAAAATGATATGGAGCATCATTTCAACATAATTTTCCCTAACATTAATGTTTATAATGACTTTTCAGGTAATTCGCGAGCCATATGAAGACCCAGTTCCAGTGTATGGTTCCGCTATGGCACATACGATGATGATGGTGCGTTTACTTTCATGTTCTTTGTTGAGATATGTTTGTATGCCAAGTTATCCTCACGGGATCAGAAGGAAGGTGCACTTTATCTGAATGCATCAGGCTATCCAGTCTTTTCAATACACATGTCAACTGAATATTTTGTAGGGAATATCATGTGGACATACAATTTGCAATCAACTATAGGAAACTTTGTGAGGGTATTTAGCATTAAGGACCCCATGTTAACATGCTAGAGGTATGTATGGGTTGTCTTATACTGTGGAGAAAATTACTGAAACTGATATTTTCTTATATGTTGTTCGGAGCAGTTTTGAAAAAAAGATTCACAAGCTATGATAGAATCTTTTGAAAGGATGCTTTCCCTGCATACTAGACATTAGGGGTGGGTATTGCAGAGAATTTTCATATTGTGATATATTGCGATGCGAAAGCATGTATTGCGATATGTATTGCAATATATTGCATGAAGTATTTTGAAACAAAACTACTTATAATCGAGTTACTGCTTGATTTATAGAGCAAAAACAACAAAATCACTAGGCTTGATTAAGCTTTAATAACAACTTTTAATCATGATAAAATAAAAATATGAATAATATCGCAATACGTATTGTTTTCATGTCTGAACCGGTAAATACCGGTAAACCGGTTATATTGCGCAGCCCTACTAGACATTCTGAATCTTTATTGGCCTATCAGAAAATATTTAGGAATCTACTGAAAGATGTCTTTCTCTTTTAACCGAACATGCTTAATCCGTGATTGGTCTGTCAGAAATTATTATGGGATCATTTGAAAGGAAACTTTCCGGTCCTCGCTGAATCTGTTATTGGTTTATTCAAAATAATTATGGGATCTGCTGAAGATTACTTTCTCTCCTCACTGAATCTGTTAATGGTTTATTCGAAATTATGATCTGTTGAAAGGGTATAGGGTCTCCTTACTGAACCTGTTATTGGTTTATCAGATGCTGAGGTAGCTGAGCTGACATCATCACTGAGAGATATCGAAGTGCCCCGACTGCGGCCTCGTTCTGTGAGCCCAGTGCTGTACACCCCAAGTTAGCGCGCCCGATTTGGCAGCGGTACCTACTCTCCAACCTACAGCCTGAGTAGCCGGGTCGACAGCATCCTGCGGAGGAACAGGTCTCTTGAAAGACTTGATCGACTCAGTCCTGTCAATACTACCCCGGTATGGTATATCTTTGTCAACTTTACTTTAGTTTTTAAAAAACACTTAACATTTGAAAAATGTATTTTAATCTTTATATTGGGGATGAAATTTGTTTAACCAGATTTTTTCTTTTGTCTGGTAAATAAATCAGTATGTAGACACTGATGTTTCAAGGTTATTCGATGTGAAGTGGACATCCCATGAAGCTTGTGTAAAAATTAGATTTTGAGGGAAGTCTATTTGAATGATAATAAGGCAATTGCTGAAAGACATTAAGGCAGAAGTGCTCTGTGAAGTTTCCTAGTTTTAAGTTGTGCTGACTTGTTCATGTGTTTTTGACAATGCAACTGGTGTTTTAAACTGTAAGTGCTTACAACTTTGTTTTCAAGATAGTTTGAGGTTAAAGGACTTTCTGTTTCAAAGAAGTACTGAGCAAGTGTGTAATTGACAGGAATAGACTCTATCTTGTTTATAAGTTATGGAGAACCACAGTTCCTGTTTCATAGTTGTATTGCATTGGGAATGTATGAGACCAACTGTCAACTGTTGATGTGATGTGAAAAAGGTTCTGATTGGATACCTACTCTGGAGTCAACATTAGTCTGTCTCACATTCAGTGAACAACATTATTTTGCCTTCTGCCCAAGCATTTCTGCATCTCTAAAGCCCCCCAAAAGCAAATCTAGATTTCCTCGGTGAGTGAGTATGGTTTTACAAGGCTTTCAGCAACAATTCCAGCAATATCATGGCGGGGGACTCCAGAAATGTGTTTCACACATTGTACCCATGTGGGTAGATTTCGTCAGGGTCTGAATCAAACTCGGGGCGGTGGGGTAGCCTAATGATTAAAGCGTTGGCTCGTCACGGCGAAGACCCGGGTTCGATTCCCCACATGGGCACAATGTGTGAAGCCCATTTCTGGTGTACCCCGCCGTGATATTGCTGGAATATTGCTAAAAGCGGCATAAAACCATACTCACTCATGCACTGAATCAAACTTTCTATGCTCACTGGAGCTTCTTTTTCAAGTTAGTTATGATTTGGTTCTATCAAATTATATATGTTCAGAGACTTAAGTGCTAGTCTTATGGTGCTGATGTAGAAGTTTGTCGTATTCTGAAAATAAGCGGGATAGGGCTGCTTCTGTTTATGTATGCAATGCAAACACCTTTCTAGTCCAACTTCAAATCAGATCTAGACCACAACGTGATGTTTGAGATCAGTGATTTTATGAGAATCCATGTGTCCTCTGTTTTAGATTTACACAAGGAGGTATCCATTCTATGACTCCCTGGATGACCTTGAGCTGGAGACCAAGCTGGCTAGATCCAGGAGGTACTGCTTGTACTAAATCCTGACCAGCCAGGTTACTTTCATTTTATTGTTCTCTAGTTTGTAGTGGATGGTGTTCAGATGGGAAGGATTACTGATACGTTCTGAGCCTCACATAGACAGAAACATGTAGCACTGTGGTGCTGTCACAAGTCAGTAACATGTATTGGGGTCTGTGACCTTTGGTAAAGGACAAATGGACATTGATCAAGTAGTTCCAGACAAAAAAGGATAACACCCATTCCTGAAGGTACAGCACAAGGGAAGGATGTTCCTTCTTGTATGATGATGCCAGAAGGATGTGGGAGTTTAAGCATGGCAGGGATACAATTGGAAAGAATGTGATGTCAGCAAGGCCAGAAATTATTGAGTCAATGTATGGCTGACAATCATATGTTGTTGCACTTTTGAGGTAATTCCATGTAATGATGAAATTGAGACTGAAACATAAAATTGAAGCTGAAAAGAATTGTGCTCTTCAAATGACATCATTTGGCTTTTAGACAGTAAAGAAGTGATCTTCTATGAAACTTCTATGAAGACTAGCAAAGGTTTATAGATGTTTCGTAATGACTTTAGGTCAATTCTTTCTATGTAAGGCTTATAACATTCTACCCAAACCTGTAAAAAGACAAGAATAGCTTTTTGTGTGAGCTTAAGTGTGTGATGCCACTGTTTTATCCTTACCTTTGGAGTTTAATAAGTCAATGTTGTTGTTTATTGTTATTACTAAATTATTTTACAGTTCTTACTGACATGTTGCACAGTCTAATAATCTCAAAGCAGCACAGTAACTCACAAAAGTGATATCGTATGTTTATAATCTCACCCAACTCATTATTATCACAAACAGATCCAGACCTCCTTTATTAAATGTAAAAAAACAACAACATCCAACAAAATAATCAATAACTGTAACATGAGAAAAGCAAGATTTATGGATGTCAACTTCTATATTGTGAATATAATGACATTTCAAACTTTATGCTTGCTCCTTCGTTAGGTGATATAAAGAAGTTGACATCCATAAATATTTTCTTATCCATTCCACTACGAAGATGTTTTGCATTTATTTGCATTACTCTAGCATTTTGTACGTGAGGTGCAGTCACTCTTTTTACCCACTGAATGTAGAAAGTATGTTGCATTTCTTGCTATGAAAAGGAAATGGATGAAAACATCCTGATGTGTTTTCTGTATGAATATGCTTGTTGCTGTTCTCATATTCCCCCAAATCAAAGTGATCTAAGAGTTCCATTCACAAACCATATTCCCATACAAGTGTGAGTTTGTGAGGAACACCAAACATACCTTCTTCTACATTGTGCCCATGTAAGGGACAGAACCCGTGTGTATGTGTATGAAACAAAACACTTCAGTAACTCAACACCTCACTCCCTTAGCAATCTGTGAAGATCCGGGTTACAACTGGTCTTCAGCAACCAATGCTTGTCATAAGAGGCAACTAATGGGATTGGGTGGTCATGCTCGCTGACTTGGTTGACACATGTCATCATAACCCAGTTGCGTAGATCAGTGCTCATAATGTTGATCACTGGATTGTCTGTCCAGACTCTGTCATTTACAGATCACCGCCATATAACTGGAATATTGAAGAGTGCAGCGTTAAACAACAAACACTCCCTTAGACTCTTGGAGAGTCACCTCCCTGTGGTACCAAGATCTGAAATAGAGTTTTGACAACAACATCTGTATAAATGCCCAGTTTCTTATTAAGTTCCTTAAAATAATGCACTGGAAATATAAAGCCTTGATTATAATGTGACAGTGTTTTTGTCTTTCAGCCTTGTACACCTCGATGAAGGAAAGTACTGGACGCCCAATGCAGCAAAACTGAGCGGTAAAACACATCGACAGGTTTTCACTGATACCCTAAGTACTATATATGGAAAACTTTACAATACAGCTAGAAAACAGAGTCCTCACAAGTTTACATAGATCTGTTTTATAATTAACTATTATAATGGACTTTAGTTACAGCACTGGTTGGAACGGACACATGTTGTCAACATCTTCATCAGAGTTGCTGAGAATACTAAGAAAATAGATGAATATAGGGTAAAACAACAGACAGATGAAATAATTTATGTTTGTCACTGCTGTTTATTTTTGGGGGAAACTAAAAGTGAACATGCTGAACAGTATTAATTCAGCGTATATTGTACACAATTTGTACACATTTTGTACCAACTGTTCCAACCAGTGATGGGATAGATCTCATGTTGTTGTGTACAACTGAACATTCCCCTTGAATGTTTTAAACATAATATTTCAATATGAAAAATACCCTATTTTTCTGATAATTTTATCAAAGGATGATTTCATCTTATAATACTCTATGTTGTTATTTATTTATGTTTGTACTATAATTCAATCATATTTGTCCATCATGAAATGAGTGAAGTTCTCTTTTATAAAAAGCAAGGGCTATGCAAGGTAAAAAATATTCAAATTTCTACTAAAATTTAAATTTATAAAAAGCAATTGTCTTATTCCTTAGGAGAGTTGTTTTATTTATTAACTTACCAATGCAAGAAAAATGCAATCACATAAAAATCAGATCTTTGTTCTTGCTACCATTGAACACAGATCTGAGGCCGTTCCATTACAGGTGTCTTCAGAATGACCTGTTTCTGACCAATGAAATGACAAACCAAAATTTGACTTTAGCCAATCTCAGCTTTCTCAATATACTGTATTAATAATATTTGAACAAAGGACTGGATTCAGAATTGAAGTATGAGACAGACGATGATGTGAGGTATTGTTTCTAACAGCCATTACTGTCCTTCATGTTACCACATGTTATCCTGTTGGAGGTGGCATGACTAGACAACAATCACACATTCCAACTGTCTTCTTTCCCGATCTGGCGAGCAATGCTAAGATAGTTCTGACCTGACCTGAAATGGGATATCCTAAGATCTTTGTTTTGCAGTAGTGAGAACTCAGATGAGATTTCAAGGAGATTGAAAAACATGACCGAAATATGTAATTGAATTTTGAGAGAAAGAGCTATGCATATATCATCAACACATGCTCAAATGTTACTGCCAGAGTATTTTATGATCAGTCACTTGTTATGGAACTGTTTTGTCAAAAGGTGAAGTCCTTTTGAACAGGTTGAAACAGGCCTTATATTGTATATAATGTTATTTGTTACCATGGACCCTTGCAAATGTTGCTTTTCACCAAATGATTTTAGTAAATAAGTTTTAGATCTTAGACATTGTATAATCTTATATATTTACATTCTTAAAACAATTGTTCAATTGTTGAACCTGCTGAAGGTTTATTCTATGAACATGATTTTGAGATATTGTTAGTGGTAGCTTTTATTACGGTACAAATCTGTCCACTTGAATGATCGATTGTTAGATTTGTATTTTAAAAAACACTCAGTATTTTAAACATCTACCTCTTTGTTCAATCGAAGTAGATGAGACCTAGGATGTAATGAGAAACTCAATCCTGAATTGGAACAGTAAATTTAAACATTTTTCTTGCTTCATTTGAAAGTAAAGGATTTTTCAAGGGAACAGTTAGATCTTCCAATGGTGAAATTTGGTAACAATATCTTGAAAGCTTTTCTTTAAAAGTCTCTTTTTCTTATCCCTTACTTATATTTATTCCCTCTGTATGAAGGATTGGTTGTTGAAAAAAAGATTAAAAAATGATGCTAACAACTGACTTCGGTTTACACAGATAAACAAACAGTGTTCAACCTTTGCTTTGAAAGTTGAATAGTTCTTAGTAAATCCCAATGTTGAAGATTAAAGATTTAGGGAGTTCCTAGATTCCATTGAAATGGAAGCAAAGCTGAAGAATAACAGGAATGCCTTTAATTTGGATTTGAGCATAATCGAGTACTGAAATCATTATATTTTAAAGTGAACATCAAATGGCTGTTTTGTGTAGATTTTATCTGATTTCTGTTGCAAGAGTGTGCGAAGGTTTTAGTCACTTGGGACCATATGTCTTCTGGACAAGCTGTCTTCGACATAATCCACTGTATCTGTGATATATACATAAAGTTTGTTATATACATTGTAACCTTTGTTTTCTCTAGGTCTTATATTCCCTAATAAAGTTTCTATCTCTACAAATGTCTTTGTTTTCCCCAAACAGATGTTACTTTGTTATTCAGGTAACAATGACTGCATTTGTGGTGTAGTGGATATGTCTTTGTCCACAGAGCAAAGGTCTGTGGTTCAGTCAACAGGCTGCCCTATTAAAAAAAATCATTGTATGGTGGTACTTGTTGTTTCCTTGCCTGGTGCTAATAGGCATTATTGGGATAAAACAAGGAGTGGTCGCCTCAGAGTCAGTGTAATGTGTAGGAGTGGAGTATTCATGTTTAACAGCCACATGGTCTGTCAGTAGCCTGGTACTATAAAACTGCCATGTAATCATGTGTATTTGTTAACTCTCTGATCAGCTGCAGAGCTAGCACAATAAAACAATAAAAATTGAAGTAAAAAAACATGCAGTCAGTTAAACATTTAAACTGTTCCCTAAGAAATGAGAAAACAGCCAAAGAGTAAGTCATTGGGCGATCCCCAAAGGTTGGAAGATATGAACACTGAACTGAGTATGTCATAGCAGGATTGTTTGGTTTATATGCAGGTGCCCCACCTGTAGAAAAACCTGACTCTGACATGGACCATTATTAAAGTCTCATTTGAACTTCAGCAAGTTCCGCTCATCTTGGGATGAGTAGGAAGGTATGAGGGGCATTCAATATATTTTCAACTTCAATATAAGACAAAGTCCCAGTAATTCGTTTGCACTTTCAATTTTCAATATAATCTCCATTCACCTCAATACACTTGTTCCATTTGTCCTTCAAGCATTTCATACCACTTTCATAGAAATCTGCAAGATTGGCCCTCTAACCATGCCTCTGTAGCAGCCATTATCTCCTTGTCATCCTGGAAGGTGATCTAACTGTTCGAATCCACATTCACGTATGGCGGCCTGTGCAATTCTCGAATGTGAACCCGAGCGTTGTCATGCAAAAGTAGAATACCACGTGTTAACGTCTCACGCGTTTCTGGCGAATAGATTTTCGCAAATCTTTCATTAAATTAGTATAATGATTGTAGTTTTGGGTGGCATGTAATCAGTCAATAATATGCCTCTATCATCCCAAAATATAGTGGCCTTCACCTTGGTTAAGTGAGAAACTCCTTCGGAGGCGGAGAAGTGGGGTGCTTCCAATACATGGATACCACTTTAGTTTCTGGGTCCCAGTGGTGGATATATATTTCATCACATGTCACTAGATGAGAAAGAAATCCGGCCTCATCAGCAATATTACCCAGGAGCTTTCGACAACTTTCAGTTCTCTGATGGCGATCTTGAGCACTGGGTTTTCTAGGTACCCATCTTGCAGATACCCTGGACATACCAAGATGCTCATGAATAATGGTTTCAACAGTTCCAACTGATAGTTTGAATTCCTTAGAAAGTTCAGATACTTTTTATTCGTCCGTCAGACAAAATTCGTATTTCTGGAAGAAGCTCCCTCCCACATCGGACAAATGCACACAGGAACAGTCATGTATACTTTAGTCCCACCTGACAAGTCACTTTTTCAAGATTGCCTGTAATGTGGGATATGTATGCCGCTATCAGACAAGCCTGTTTGACGTGGCTCAGAAGAGATTTCAGGAAAATTAGAAAGATAATTTTGCATCAAAGTATAAAATTTACTTGGACTGTACTTTCAGTCTGCCCGAGTCCAGTTCCTCTTCAACTGAGCATTTTGGGATAAACATATGAGTGGCATAGTTGCCACTTGGTGACTTCCAGGTATAGAATGGACTACTATCGTGTAGCCATCTCTGATGATTTTAATGTTTCTTTACAGTGAGCTTGTGTGTTTAGGTTTACGCTGGGGAACACCAGAAATGTGGTTTGCTCTTTGTACCCATGTGGGGAAGCGAACCCGAGTCTTCGGCGTCACGGACGAACGCTTTAACCACTAGGCTACGCCAGCACCCCAGTCTTTACAGAATAACGGAAACCTGCCAACCCATTCACGAACAAAGTAACTGACAACATGTGATGTAATGTGAACTAAAATAATGCTAGAGAGATGCTAAACCTTTCTTACTCACGGCTTATAACAATTCATCTGTTTTTGACATAGAGCCGAAATGCCTCTGCTACAGTGTTTAACATCCGAATGATATGGAGAATTGTAACTAATATAATATTTGGGATTACACCTGCTCAGTAAAATCGTATCCCATCTAGATCGGTGCTCGTAATGTAAATCACTGGGACATCTTGTCAGGACTCGGTTATTTACAGACCACCATCATAAACTGGAAAATTGCAGAGTGCAACCTTGAACAATAAACGAACAGTAAGATACAAATTCTATAGCACTTTAAGGGTTGAAGCACTGTGTATTGATATCGGGGAACATCAATTATTTTAGTGACAGTATAGCATAGATGAAAAGTCCTCTATTTACAAAGAACCAACTGTTCACAGATACATTATCCCTGATTGACCTGCCTTTCACAAGGCACACGCTCGTTCATAGTATATCAGCTATCAAGTATCACTCTCGGCTCATTATCTGGGTGTAAACAACGTACCCATGCAACAGGCTTCTCTTGGACTTTCCTCTTTTGTTCGTATGACAAACCGCTTTGACTTGTACACTAACTCAGCTGAGTATTTGTCTTCATATCAACGCCGGTTACGTTTCAATGCCTGTTATTTACCTTAAGATTTACCGATAAGATTAAAACTCCATCGGTAGCGGATTAGAGTTACACGAGCGGTTTGTGTATCAGGCAACTTTTAAGACTGGATTTATTCAGCGAGTGGTCGTGGAATGGTATAGTGATCATGGCTTTTGACGGAGACTCGTTCTATTTGTATACCAGTCTAAAGGCGGAAGATTACACTAAAGACATCAATGCTTTGTTGCATGTAAGTACAATGTGTTATCTGTTGAGTATGTGCCTGTTATTGAATAACATATTGTATTATGCACAAATTGGAAAGGGCGTTGTGAAAGTTTCAGTCTTTTTTCAGGACATTGTCGCTTTGTCGCTCTCACGAAACCGTTTTTAAAGCATCGTAATTAATCGATAAGCGACAACGGCTCTTCTAAGACTCCTTACTCCTCTGATTTCTAAACTTTCACAGTTTTGTGTCATCGAAGGGAAGGCCACCATACCTCCCAACTACAGATGTGTGTCGGGCGGTGGGGTAGCCTGGTGGTTAAAGCGTTCGCTCGTCACGCTGAAGACACGGGTTCGATTCCCCACGTGGGTACAATGTGTGAAGCCCAGTTCTACTGTCCCCCACCGCGACATTACTATACTCACTCACTCTCCACAGATGTGTGTGGTCCTTGACAAGAGTAAGTGAGTGTGTTCGGTTTTACCCCGATTGAAGCAATGACCTTCTCTCATTGTACCCATGTGTGGAATCTAACACGGGCCTTCATTATGACAAGCGGCAAGTGTGAGTAAGTGTAGTTTGAGGCCGCATTCAGCAATATTCCAGCAATATCATGGCAGGGGACACATACATATTGAACCCATGTGGGGACTCGAGCCTGGGTCTTGGTGTGGCAAGCGAGCTAACCCACCGCACAGGAAAACAAGAGGCCACCCCGCCGCCCCAGGAAAACAAGAGGCCACCCCGCCGCCCCAGGAAACCAAGAGGCTAACCCACCGCCCCGGGAAACCAAGAGGCCACCCCAGGAAAACAAGAGGCCACCCCGCCGCCTCGGGAAACCAAGAGGCTACCTAACGCCAATGGGAAACCAAGAGGCTACCCCACCACGTACGGAAACCAAGAGGCTATCCCACCACACACGGAAATCAAGCGGCTATACCATCGCGCCCAGAAACCAAGAGGCTATCACATCGTGCCCGGAAACCAAGAGGCTATCCCAACGCCAACGGGAAACCAAGAGGCAACCCCACCCAACCCGTAAGCCAAGAGACTACCCCACCGCGTCCGAAAACAAAACAGATATCCCACCGCGCCCGGAAACCAAGCGGATAAATCCCCCCCACGCCCAATTGACAAGAGACTTCATATGAAATATGTCTCTGTTCCCGAACAGCGGATGAGTACTTTACAGGGTCTTACACCTGCCATGCATCTTAGCTTTTACTATCCTCAGATAGTTGAGAAGGTGAAACAAATTATTTCACAAATATAACTGTAGTATACCTTTTCTTTTTATCATGTTTATTGTTTTAATGGGGAACATTCCTCAGTTATCTCCCTTTACCGCTTCGCCAATAGATGGCGCCAATCACTACGGTCCTGAGTGTACTTCCGGTATAATCATGGCGTTCGAAGTTTGTAGCACGGTCGATTTCAAATGCGCAGCAATTACTATGCCTCAGACGTTCTGCTGTGCCCTGGGATGCTGCAACAGAGGTGGTTCGACGTGTCCGAGAGGTGAAAATTTTCTCAAATGGTGGTTGACTGTCATTCGAAGTAGCGACGAATTAAACCAAATGATAAGTCCTTTGACGAGTGATGCGTCAGTCGCCGACAGCCAGTAATATTAAATCTTCTTCCCCGGGGTCGGAATGAATGATCATATGTGAATAGAGGTGGACAACGTAACGGTCCGTGATGTCAGAATGTCAGCAGATACGTCATCACCTTGAGAATCTAAAAGGGCATACCGAGTTTGCCTGTTATGTAATTGAAACTAGAAAGGAGTGTTAGATTATATTATGTCTATTTCACTATAGTTCATCCACACTAATTATAACTTTTTGCGGCATCTCATGACGATTCCGGACAGATTATACTGCGTTCTTGTAGAAGATTTCCCATAGGTACCCGTGGTATTGTACACTGATTGGGTTTTGCGCCACTTTTAGCAATATTCCAGACACCAGGAATGGGCTTCACACATTGTATCCATGGGGGAATCGAACCCGGGTCTTCGGCGTGACGAGGGAACGCTTTAACCACTGGGCTACCCCACCGCCCCTATCGTACACTGATCAGTTTATAGGGTCAGTGTGATATGTAAGCATATCCAAGAGATTCACAGACTTTCGGCGTATATAAAAGAAGTGGTGGCGTTTGAATGTGCTGTGT